CTGTAAAATACATTACAGCTGAGTAACTCATATACAGGGGGGGGGTGCAAAAAAAGTCACTTTTCTTCATTGACTTTCGAGGCGCTATAAGTTACACTTTATTAAATTCTGATCGGACATTTTTACCACCATATTAAAGAGCATATTAAATACTATCATGACACTCCGCCACAGCCTTCTGGACGAGCGCCATCGAGAGATTCTGGCACGCGACCGCGATGTGGTGCCTGAGATCAGCGAGATAGTCGATTTCTCCGCCACCGTAGACCACCCTATTGAACTCCGCCCGAACGAGGGGATTCAGGTCAGGTGACCTACTTGGATATTCCATCTTCTTTAGGTACTCAGCCCCTTCCATTCCAAGTAGGCGAGAGTTTCTCCAACGCCCTTCGATTCCATGTGGTGGCACTCAATGCTGTAGCAGTACAAAGTTTCCAAGAAGGTACGGGCGACGACATGTGAGGAGGATATTCTTCACGAGTTGCCCAATGTAACCGCCAGCGCTCACCTTCAGTCCGGGGTCCACGAAGAAAATATTGGTCAGCTCCTGCTTATCGAGGAACATCTTGGGTATCTTCGCCCTGGTACTCGTATCCACGTCCTCTGTCTGGGCAGCGAAAACTTTGCTGATATGTGACTCGGTCGAAGTGACTTTTTTCCCCTGTATACAACATATTTAGTAATAGTTTGTTTGATAATTGACATAATGAATGGCAAGTCGCTATATTTCTCTCGATAACAAAGCTTCCGTTATACTTATACACACAAAACTCTAAGATTAGCAACGATTGCTCGTTTTTCGATACATTCGCTCAGAGGGCAGTGGATATGGCTAAAATATTTTCGAACAATGGCTACACGGAAGACTTCATTATATGTAAAATTGTCAAATATATTTACAAAGTCAAATTTATATCTAATTGGTAGCGATCGTTAATGCCTATTCGCTTTCTTATTTTTTTCAAAATTAGGATTCTCTAGTTAGATGTTCGTAAATTAAATGTAGCTCTCCTTAGATAGAATTCTAAACTTGAGTAAAATCAGTCAATCAATCATTTCATACTTTTTGGGTTTGTAGGTACACTTCGCACTTTGAGGTTTACTGACATTTTTCTTCTTCTTATCTACGCTTCCACTCCCCATTATCTTTTCCTCAACTCCTTACCTATGCAGCCCCAATTTTACTTCACTGAAGAGTCCCAGAGTTGACAAAACTACAGTGGTCCGTCTGACGTCAACGGAACAAACCCTTGATGTTTGTGAGTAGTTTCTGTATTAATGTGCCTACTTCTTTCCCTGTTAATCCTTCGCGAGCAAATTTGGTATTATCGAAAAGAAAGTAAAAAATCTAAAGAAACAGCTTCTTCGAGAGTAACTATGGGCCAGCTCTAAATCGCTTACAGCGTTGTCCAGTTGTTAAGTAGAAGGTTCCTACAAAGGGACCATTCAATTCGATGTGATATCCATAAATAGGGTATTTCTTCATTTACGTGCTAAAGGCAAAGCTCGTGCTCATAGATGGTGGTTAATGGGACTTACAAGGGAGGTGTTTCAGGTTATGGCGCGCTTTTTGGAAATGGTTTGTTGCTTGTTGTAGGGGTCCATACGAGGGTCACAAAAATGGATTTCTTTGCTTATGGTTTCTGCGTAGCGTCAAAAACTGAGTGGAAAGACTTTGACAAGAATGGGCGGTTTTAACAACATTAATGGGCTCCTTTCTGCTCGTAATTTGAGCATGCATAGTTTATGAGATGGTCACTAATTAGGAATCAAAACAGATTCGATTAAAGTCAAAATAAATAATCATGTGGTAACCACACTGTGGCATATGTGACGAAGAAGTGATGTTTTCTCAGCGAGCCCTTTCACGACCCACTGCCAACGGGTCGGATGGCGCAGTGGATAACACGACGGATTCTGGATGGCAGGGCAAGGGGACTTTGTGGATCGGATCCTCCTCGCGGAAATTTTTTTTTGCATTTTTTCAGCTTTCCATTCATTCGCGTGCCTGTTGTCTGGCAGTGGAAATAAGTCAAGTATATGCCATTTGAAGGCATATACTTGTGGCCACATTGTGGCCTGAAAGCGTGCTTGTGCTGCCCCTCGTAGCTCATGTCAGAAGGGTTATTGCAATGACCATTTATGTTCAGCCGGGTTGACTACCCCTGGGACTAATTTCTAGCCAAATCTGACGTCTCGACCTAACTCGGAAAATGTGGGCCATTCTATGGACAATTAGCAGCAGGCTGAGGTTCACCCACCATGGGTGACTGGTCCTGGGATGGTATTTTCTACCGGTAATCAGGAAAATGATGCAGGCGGCACGATCAAGTGAGCCAGGTATTGTTCTTTGCGAAAAGACATGACTGAAGGGTTATTTCAGTGCAAAGACCAGTCATCACCAGTATGCTAGTCGGAGTATTGGCTATCATCCAGGCGTGACCATCTCTACCCCATTTTTTCGAAGTTGAGTCAGAACCTCGGATTTCCTCAAGGTGGCGTTTCTAGGGGTTGTTTGACCCCCTGAACACGAATATGATATCTATTTCGCACGGAGAGAGCTGTGAGTCGCGCTACAGGTGCAAATTCACTGCGCCAGCCCACCCACAAGAAGAAAAACAGTGAAGGAAAACCTCCATAACTTCGCTCAGAGAATCGCTCCGCAAATTTTGAAGGCAGTTTCGAGTTCATTGTGTTAAGACGAGTACAATGATGTGCACCGACTGCAAATGGCCAGGTTGTCCTGGTGGCCTTCCGCATTATCGTGCCATCCAGAATCCATCGTGCTATCCGCTACGCCATCCGATCCGCCAGCAATGGTCATGAAGGGAGCGCTGACAAAAACATCACTCTTGCGTCGGTGCATGCCAAGTGTGTTACCACATGATAATTACATTTTGACTTTAATCGAATCTATTTGAGGCCTAATAGTGATCATGTGCGTATGTGTATAGTGCATGCTCGAAGTTACAAGCAGAAAGGAGCCCATTAAGGTTGTTAAAACCGCCCATTCTTGTCAAATTCTTTTCACTCAGTTTTTGACCTACCCAGAAACGCATAGCAAAAATGAAACCCATTTTTGTGACCCTTGTATGGACCCCTACAACAAGCAACAAACCATTTCCAAAAAGCGCGTCATGACCTGAAACACCTCCCTTGCTACTTACGAACAGCAAGGTACTAAGTAGGAGAGAGGTGAAGATAAAAGCAGAAAAAAAACCGTCCAGAATGCCCTATGTAAAACCCTCTGCCTACGTGCAGCTTGTGCGTGTATGCAGTGAAAAGATTGTGCGTTTGTACGAATTCTCACTTGCTGTTATCATAACAACATCGGCTCTTTTCCGTAATCACTTCACTATCACCATTCGGAATGATGAGAGGTAGTACAGCGGCTAATAGCTAGTAGATGGTAGCTTCGGAGGTGGGGGGAGCTCGGTATGGGCATAAGGGTGCTCACAGACCTGTTTAGCTTTTACTGAAATTCTTGAGAATTTCCGCTTTCTTAGTGTGGTGTTGCTTCCACAATCGCGTGCTGGATCATTTAACACATAGGAGGGCTTATAGCTCTGATTTATCGCGGAGAGTGCCTTTAAGAAGAAGCGAAAGTTAGTTGAGCAATCACTATTGCATAGTACGAGAGGGATCACATAGCCCAGTGGTCGGCATGGATGCAGCCTCGTTGGAGCAGCATGGTATGATCCCCTGGATCTGTGGTGCAACTTCCTCAGGGTAATGACTTGTGGCGGTTCTCGAGAGTGCCAGAAGGAGACGAAAATGATGAAGAAGTGTTGACTGCGCACCAACCGAAACTTTTATAGGGCTATTGCAACACTCAATACCTTCTTACTGTTGATCCTCTTCTCCTTCAGAACAGCAAGTTCGGTAGGGTTTGTAGAGGAATCTCCGAACT